TATATAAAGAAAATACAGGCCGGGCACGGTGGCTCATGCCTATAATCCCAGCAGTCTAGGAAGCTGAGACAGGTGGATTGCTTGAGCTCAGGAGTTTGAGACCAGCCTGGGTAAAATGGCAAAACCCCATCTCTACTAAAAATACAAAAAATTAGCTGAGCAACAGAGTGAGGCGCTGTCTCCAAAAAACAAAACAAAACAAAACAAACTGCTGCTTCTAGTAGCAGTGGCTTTAGCTGTAGAGAATCTTCCAATTCAAAGGCAAAGGAAAATTACTGCCATTAACTATGACTTAACTCCTTTTTCTTAAGCGCTCTTATCTAATTTATTGAAAGTAATAAATCTTTATTTTCCTAGTTCAAAGTGAGGTGCTTCTACTAAGATCACATTTATACATTACAATTATTACTTAATTTAAGCATGATTTTTACCATTTCTTGGTCCTTAATAATGAGAATTTAAATTATATTAAGAAAAAAATGCTTAAAACTACACTTGTTATTATTCTCAAGGTGCAAAATTAGCAAAGAAATATAGCTTACCTCTTTCAGGGCTTTTAATAATCGAGGTCGTTTTTCTTCAACACTTTCCCTGGATTGCTGCTTAAGCTTCCTTAAAAGAGCTGTAACTAAAGTTTAAATTTTAAAAATAATTAATTTAATTTTCATCATGGAATAAAAATATTATTGTCTTATAGATAGACGATACATGTGTGTGTATGTGCACGTGTGCATGTATGTGTAACTACAACCACAATATATTTTGAAAGGACAAAAATCAAAGAGCAAAGTTTAAATTACTGAAGGTCTCTTGGAACAGTAAAAGAAGCTAAGACATAGAAGTCGAGAACGTGGGACCTATACAGACAGAATAACTTAGTAAGTGAGCTTAATAAAACCAGTATGATCCCCAAAAAATAAGAAGAAGAGAAATTTCAACACCAACCTATACCATATTCACATTAACTTTTCTTTTGTTTTCTTTTTTAACCAAGGGAAAGTGCGAATGCAGTCCCCTACTACCATAAATTATGCAGTCAAGTTTCCCACATTTGGGGAAATCGCAGGGATTAGCACGACAGAGTGCAATGGATAAGCCTCGCCCTGGGAAAACCACCTTCATGATCATGGTATCTCCCCTGCCAGTTAAGTATTCTTCACACTATTACTAGTTTTTAATTATCAGTAAGGATTTACCTAACTGTGCCAACATAACCAAACTCATTCAAGTGATGCAATGTCCTATTATAACACTGACCTCAAGGAAGATCTCAAAGACAACAGACCTCAAAAATCCCACTGGAAACCACTTTTCTAAAAACATATAATTACCTGCAATTGTTACCAGGTGTATCTGTTCTTTTTTCACTGGAGGATACACCTTCACCTACTACCAGTACAGTATAAAAATACAAAAATGAGTCTTATTGTATCTGGAAAAAGAACTTCTGAATCCAAAAAACCTAAAGTCCTCCATAGCATATTTTCAATTACTAAGAGACTGAGATTTAAGCACATTGCTGAAGTTCAAACCCTAGCTTTACCACTAAGTAGTTGTGCGTAAACTTTGACAAGTTACTACCTAATTTCTCTAAACTACTTTTTTCCTCTCCTTTGTCAGGAATAGAAGTAAGGGCACAGTGGCCTGCACCTGTGGCCCTAGCTACTCAGGAGGTTAAAGTGAAAGGATTGCTCAAGCCCAGGAGTTCGAGACTAGCCTGGAAAACATAGTGAGACCCCATCTCCATTAAAAAAAAGAAAAATTAGCTGGGGCTTGATGGTGTGTACCTGTAGTCCTAGCTACATTGGATGCTAAGGCAGGAGGACTGGTTGAGCCCAAGAGTTTGAAGCTGCAGTGAGCTATGTCCATGCCACTGCACTCCAGCCTGGGGGACAGAGCAAGACACTGTGCCTACAATTAGCTAAATACAATTTTTATCGATTAGAATGAAGGTGTAAAATTCACTGTCAAAAATCAATCAATTAATCCTTAACATTTACCAAAATAAGAAAAAATATTAGACTTGAATGAAATAAGCATAGAAAAAAATAAGAACATGGAAAAATGTGCATTGGGAGGAAACATATACATCAATACATGTTAATT